TTTTTTTTTTTTTTTTGATTTGGTCCTGTTGGCAATCTTTTTTTGCCCAAGTTATTCCTAAGGAGGATAGGCCACACAACTGAACACAAAGTTATACAGAATGCATCAGGACTGTGGGATGTCACAAATATTCAGTTTACTGTGTTTCCTTTGATAACAGAAAGAGAACCTTTTCTTGATGTGTTAAGAGCTGTGAGTGGGGCAAGATAACTAATGTCAGAAAAAGTAAGAAGGAACATAGGCAAAAGATGCAAAAGTGTAATCCACTGATGGGAAGAATGAACATATTAGCTTTTCTCCTCTGCTCCAGCTGTAATTCACTATAATAATGAAAATTTTTCTTTATCCATATATGTGATTCATAGAGTGATATCTACAGATTCCAAGTGACTTTTGACTCAGGTAGTACTCAGGTAGTATTCTTTTATGCTAAATTCTGGAATGGTATTTATGAATAGAGTTAAATTACTTTCTACCAATATGTTGAATAAATCAGCCACCCAATCTGAATGCACATTCTGACCAGTTTACAGCAAGAATAATATATTGTAGAAATAATATAAATATTCTCTCTCTCTCCCCCTCCCTCCTTCTCTTCCTCCATGTCAGATTTCTGGGCCATTGGAGAATTTTACTGGCTGCATAGAAGTTATGGAAATCAATAACTGGGAATCTTTCATCCCATCCAAGGCAGTGAAAAAAATTCACATTGAAAATTGCAGGTAAAATCCATTAATGATTTTTCAAATACTTGTTTGAATAACCACACCAAAAGGTAACATTTCCATTTGAAATCATCTAATCAGGATTAGATTACATTTCCTTCATTTTGATGTTTTCTTTATAGTGACATACTATATTTTTTTACAGACTATAGAATGTTTAAGCTATAGCCCAATTAAATTGGACCATTTATTTATAATGGGTTTCAGCTTTCTGCTACATAAGATACATCGTGTCAACCAACAAATGATAAGTTAGTCTTGATTAGAAAATGTCATCTTTTGGAGTGTTTGAAATATAAGCATGCTCTCATGCATGTGGTATATTGTTCAGGTTGCTTAAATGTTTCTTTTAAAATGTCATTCTCAAAAAGTTCTCATTGTGCTTGAATTCCCATTATTTGTGGCATTCCTTTCAAATAACCTTCTTCTAGCTATAGAACTATCTGTATATGTGGAGGGAGGTGGGGTGGAGTTGAAGTAACGAGATGGTACATTTGACACAATATTAGGCATTCGTGCCATTGGTACAAATTGGTTAAATTTTTTGTTCGCTGATGGTGATGAAAAAAGGATCATTTATGGAGCCTTATGGGGCATTGGAAAAGGTGCACCCAGGTTAGGTAGGATAGCGTGATGAGGCAGGATGTTTGATCACAGAACAGCCTGCTTGACAATAGCAGAAACACATTGACTCCACAAAAAAAACTGTGAATTATTGAAATTCTTCTGTGGACTGTGGTCCAAGGTGAATAAAGAGTCACACAATGACTGTCCTTAAGGAGTTTATGGTGTACTAGAGGAGATATTGATGAAATATGCAAATGAATATATACATATAAAGTGTGCTTTGGGGAAAAAACAGAAGGCTATGAGAACTTTACATATTTGAATATCAGCAAATTGGTGTCCTTCACAGTTTGGCTGGGGGGTAGTGTATGTTCAAAAATTGAAGAAGTACTTTAGAAAGTAAAAGGCTAATTCATTCCCCAGTGTTTCACCTGTAGGCTATACGTTTAAAATATATTTGTGGCGGGGCGCCTGGGTGGCTGGTCCAAGTTCGAGCGATCGACTTCCAAAGCTGGAGTCCGTCGATCCTGCTGATTCATTGAGTTTCCAGGAGCCCAGCATTATGGGCTGATGGCTCAGAGGCACCCTGGAGCCTGTATTTGATTCTGTGTCTCCCTGTCTCTCCTGCCTCCCTGTTCGTTACTCTTCTCTCTCTGTCCCAAAAATAAATAAACGTTGAAAAAAAAAATAAAAAAATATGTTTTGGCCGACTCCTATCTCTTACAGTGGTAGACATAGTGATTATTTTATTTGTTTTTACTCAAATTAAAACTTAATATCTTACATTATACACAATAGATGGGTTCCAGCAATTTTAATATAAATAAAATACTCATAAATCCTTATATATTTTACCATTTATTTCTATTTTTTTTTGTTTGTCTCAATTTGTTATTGATTTTCAGTGAGCAGTATTTCCTAACAATTAGTTACCTCTCAGATTCTTTGCTCTCTAGCTTCTCTGTTAAATATTATGATTTGCAACTCATAGTTAAATGAATAATGATTTTACTAGGAAGCAAATCCATTGAAAATGATATACTCCTTTGATAATTTATATAATCATATGCTAATGTAGCAATTGATAAAATTTTCTATTTTTAACTTTATAAAAGTAGGACATGCTTAACTTCTCTTTGTAAGAATGAGTATAAAAAAAACAACAGAAAATCACTATGTAATCTCAGCTATCTGCAAGCCCTAAAACTTTTCTCAATCTCTCTTCTATTTAAGTCCTGTTTTATTGCCCTTCAATGCCATTAATTTGACCTTCATTTCTGCAATATTGGTTCTTTAAATACTATCTATAATTTAATGCTGCAAATGGTATTATCCCTCCCTATAACATCCAACACAGCTATAGACACATGAGAGGCATTTTGGCTATAATTAGGGTTAGGGCAAACAGAGACTATTAAATTTCTCCGAACAGTCACTCTGCTTCTCTCACCAACCCCTGCTAGTACTTGATTTCATTTAGGATCACCTTTCCCTTTTTTTTTTTTCCTTTTAACATTTATTGTTTCTGAGAGACAGAGAGAGACAAAGCATGAGCAGGAGAGGGTCAGAGAGAGAGGGAGACACAGAATCTGAAGCAGGCTCCAGGCTCTGAGCTGTCAGCACAGAGCCCGATGCAGGGCTTGAACTCACGAACTGCGAGATCATGACCTGAGCCGAAGTTGGACACTTAACCGACTGAGCCACCCAGGCACCCCTATGATCACCTTTCCTAAGGCAGACATTTCCTAAGACGAGATTGGGTCTAGAATGAAGTTTTCAAAACCTAATTCTGCAAGTAATTGGCTGTATGACACCAAGTAAGGTTTAACTGTTCCCTATTCCTCCTCAGTCTTATCCGTGAAATCAAAAAAATAACCCTTGCCTTATAATGTTGTAAAAAAGATAAAATTGGACTCTCTTCTTTGTTAAAAGCTCAGAGACATTGAGCTTCATTGCCAAATTTGCTACCATGTCCAGGAAATTGCATCTTCTAATCGGTCTCCCAGAACCCACCTCTCTCTCTCCCCACCTTCCTCATTCACAAGTCTGGCTTCTTCTCAACATTTAGCCCTCAACTTTACTATGACCTCATCTAAGAAGACTTTCTAGACGATCCAAAATGAAATGGCCTCCCCTCCATCATGTCTCCTACTCACTGTTTATTTCCATATTATTTTTTATTCTTATGAGGAATGACACTATTTGAATATATTTATTTGTTCATAGGTTCCTTTTATGACTCTTGTCACCATAATGTGTGCTCCTTGTGGGCATGGACTCTGTAGAACTTTTCCACTGCTATTTCTTCATGGCCTGGAATGGTAGATGCTCAAAAATTTACTGTATAAAAGATCCGAGATTCAATTATGATTTCTTCACACAAATTTTTATTATGAATTATTATTATTTTTTTTAGATTCACACTACAGAGTGATTCTCAAACTTTTTGGTCTTTGCACCCTTAAAAAGAGTGCTGTTTTTGTTGGCCACAAGGGGCCTTTTTTTTTTTTTTTTAATATTTATTTTGTTTTAGAGAGAGAGAGGGAGCATGAGTGGGGGAGGGGCAGAGAGAGACAGATCATGAGTGGGGGAAGGGAAGAGAGAGAGCAAGACACAGAATCCAAAGCAGGCTCCAGGCTCTGAGCTGTCAGCACAGAGCCTGATGTGGGGCTCGAACCACGAACTGCGAAATCACGATCTGAACTAAAGTCAGATGCTTAACCAACAGAGTCACCCAGGTGCCCATCAAAGAGCATTTTTTAATGTGGAATATATTTATTAGTATTTACTATATTAGAAATTAAAACTAAGGATGTTTAAATATATTTATTTTTAATTCATAAAATAAAAAAATAAGTTCATTACATGTTAGTATAAATAAGAATAGCATATTTTTGAAAAGTAAGTGTACTTATTAAAACATAAAATGATGAGAAGAGTGGCAGTGTTTCACATTTTTTGCAGATATCTTTATTGTCTGACTTAGTGAAGACAAGTGGAAACTTAGATGTGTTTCTGTGTTCAATCTGTACAATAATTATTCTGCTGAAATAGTTGAAGAAAGTTCTGGCCTCATACATATGTATTTAGAAATGATAGCAGTGTTTTAATAACCTTTTTAGACAATTGGGAATATTCTTCTTCATACCAAAACTTGGTAAGTAAAAGATTCTTAAAGGTTAGTTGCAATGTAGAATGTGAAACCTGATGATCAATGAACCTCTTATACTCTGTTACATTAAAATCCATTGTTCTTTTTCACATTTGGAATGGATCTTTTACCCATGCACAATTTTTTACTGTCACTGGAAAACGTTGTTTCTTGAGTTATTCAACTATCCCAAATGTCAACACATATCAATATAAAATATCAAAAAGTCCTATCTGTGACTAATATATAATATTACTTAATAATATATATATAATATATTATTTCCTACATATTTTAATAGACACCTACATTTACTTCACTAGTGTTCTTAATAAGTAGAGGCTTAAGGTGTCTTGTGCCCAGGGTGTGAAAGACTGATCATTCAGGCTCCATGGATAGATATCATATAGTATGACATCAAGAGCAGCTAAATCAACTTTCCACCCCTAGGTTTTTTCCCTAGAGAAGCACAGATATATGACCTCATGACACTTAAAATAGCCTTATTAAAAATAGTAAAACATTGGAAAGTAAGGAAATGGATGTTTAAAGGGATGATAAATATGATGGAATTACTTATAAGTCAGTTGAAAACAATGAAATAACATTTACATGTATCTGTGTGGATAGATCTGAAATCATACCATTTACTGAGGAAAAAAAGGATAGCTGTAGCAATATACCATTTGTGTGCACTTTTGAAACTGTGTTATATACAAACTGGTCCCTTATTACACATTTTCATATTTGTCCATATAATATTAAATACTCTAGATTATGTGAACCCTTTCTTTCTTAAATAATCAGTATTTCTGAAGGAATGTGTTGTATAATGAGGAGAGGTATTTAAACAGAAGAAAATGATTCACGAACAAAAAACAAAGCATCAGATTATTTTCCACTTTCAATTCTTTATTCACAAATCATCTCAGCAGAACATCAGTGTCATTAAATCAAACATTATTAACTTTCAAAAAAGAGTAGGTTATAAAGTATATATCATGCCTTTATAAATTTGTGGAAACATTCTAGAATCCTACTTTAAGCAGATATTTGATTTAAATATTTTATTAATAAAAGACTAAGGTATAGAGTTTTAACGTTGTAGCAATACATCAGTGCTATTATTGTTTTTTTACAAAATAAGCATCCTATATCATTTTCAAGTGGATGATATGAACCTCCAAAATAAAGTACAAAAACAAAATTTGATTACTCAGTAATGGGAATCCAAAGTTCATAATTTTATTCACTCAAAAAATATAGGCAAATTAAATCT